AATCGACAACTGCATCTCTGTGATCATGTAGTATGGCAACTTGAACTAATGTACGTACGTACGAATTTCTACGTTGTTACTGACTGTAGGCCTCCTGTCCTCGAAACACAAATCTGAATCTTAAAACACACACTGATCAAATAAATGAAAACAGAAAATAAGAAATGGAGAAGACAAGATTGGATAGAAGTTATTAAAAATGGCGAATAAATTGTGGAACGTTGTGTAGGTAGGACCAATGAGTTCAAAAAGATTCGGACGTGCGTAGGTCAGAAAGTAACATGATAAACTCAGGAGTCAAAATATCTAGTTGTCATCGAGTAAAATGCGGCATACGTTTCACACTAGCTGTATATTCCTGATAGCTATCGCTGGTATCCAAGCTTCCATGTTGACGAAAGACCCAGGCCATACTCCAATGGGGTGCTTATAAGGTTACAACCGCAGACGAAGTGGACGTCCCGCTAATTGTCTGGATGAGCAAGGTGCCGAAAGCTTTAAGCCAAATTTAAGCAACAACCGTGTAAGTCAAAAACTCCTGTGATCGAATTAATAAGTAATGTAACAAACACCCAACAGGCCTGTGATTATTCAACTTCCAACATAAAAAAATCGTCAACTTATGAAGAACGCATGGACACTTAACTATGAGAACAACTATTGAGTCACACTCCATTAAGCCAATTAAATACGATTTGTTGAATCAAAAAGTACGTGTCTATATCAGTGAAACAGCACCGAAAAAAAGAAACTCGGGACTTACTAAAATCAGCAAAATGGCGACGTATACTACTGAATAAGACTTTCAGTAGGCAGGTCGTGCGAAACTAAACAAACAAAACCAAAAAATAAAGAAAGTATGTTATTAAAATAAAAACCATTTTGTAAAATAATCGGAAACTTTAAAACATAATTATGAGGACAAAAGCAAGAAGTGCGCTTTTTTCAAACTTGACTAACACTCATTGATATTCTCAGTAGAATTGATAAAGCTAGTTCACTAATTCTGCACAGAAGGTTTACACCTCTATCTTTCTCAGTGTTTAATTCTACATTTGTTGTATATGAATCCCAAAGTAAATACTACTGTAAGTCTTCGACATTTATGCTGACCCCGGCTGCCACTAATGCTAACCCACTCTACTCATCTCGGATACACTCATATCCTGATGGTAGGTGACTTCAATCTTCCAAAAGTCAACCTCTCTGAACAAATGTACGCTGGAGATGACGACTCTAAAAAAGCTCGGTTCTTCAACCTCATTGAAGGTCTGAGGTTACTCGAAAATGGCACGTTGACAAATCGCTACTGAAACAGTTAGACGCCGTCGCGCTTAGAATGTATATTTACAAACGGTGAGTTCCTAATAGAGAATCTCTAACTCTTGACTCTCCTGGGTGAAAGTGAACATGCCTTCATAGCTTTCAATCTTACCAACAAAACTGTGCCTAAAATTCCTACTGACAACACGCGCTGAAATTTCAAGCGGTTGGATGTGTCATCTTTACAGGACAATCTACATCAGGTGACTTGTAGTTCTATTTGGTGAAGACACTGACAAAATGCAGTCTTCCAATCACTTTGAACATTAATGCTTGCATGTTCGGGCTGCAATTCTACCCCTCGGAATGCAAAATGTTGATCCAGAATTGGATTGCATTGATACCTGAACTGATGATAGGGGTGACGTAGTTGAGCGTGTCGACTGCTTCGCTGATCTTTTAAGTCTCATCAGCCCTTGCGGACTGATATGTGGCCAAATCTCAGCACGGATACTGCCCTGACGAGCGATGTTTTATGGTGTAGAAGTCGGTTGGAAGAAAGCTAGGGGCAGCCAGGATAAAACATGACACAAATCCATGAAGTCATTGACAAGTGGACTGAGCTATGCTCGCAGGTGTGAACTACCTGGTTGGGATCCACGAGACGATAACAACCGATGCTTCGAGACCTTGAATGTCATGGCTCGAAATCGTTTGCTTTGACGCAGGTGCATCCACTATTTGTGTTCTCCCAAATCCTAGTCTACTGAATTCTTCATGTCACTTTTTTTCTCTTTCCATATTTATTTCACTGGGTTATGCACATTGAATAACATCTTCAGACTCTAATCTTTCCGATTACTGCTTATACTCTTGCTAGTTCTACTACTATGGGATTTGAATTGACAATTGCATCTCTGTGTTAATGTGGAATGGCAACTCGAACTGATGTGTGCACATACGAAGTTTTACGTTGTTACTGACTGACTGACATCGGGTGGACCTGGAAGTTCCGTCTCAACTTGATGTTTATGCTCGTTTCGGTCAATTTCTGCTCATGTTCATATCTGCTATAAAGTAGTCTGTTCGGTGAATGGTTTCTAAAACCTACAGAAGACCCACAGTCATCAAGAGTTCTACTCATGATATGATATGACGCGAATGGCACTAATGTGTTGAATACAGACGAACTAGTAACAACAGTGCATACAGGCAATTCAGACAAGTGAGGTATATATGTAGAATTATGGTCTACTATGATATTAGTACTGCTTTAATGAAAGACCTAATCCTAAAATTGTAGATTTGTCATGATATAACTGCCTAATCTATAATATCTTATGTGGAAGTCTCATCATCGTCTGCACCAACTCATTTTATCGTAACAATTACCAATACATGATGGAGAACAAGCTTAGGCTAGAGAAAGAACAATATATTTAATATGAATAAAAGATATAACATTCCGCAGGGACTACGCCTGCACGACCGAGCCATGCCATCTGATCAACTCCAATCAATCCAGTTCTTTGTTCCCGCCTTCCTCAACGTTCGGTATTTCTCCGCGTTAAATACTGAATATCTATTTTCCTAGTAGTCTTGTGTTCAGCTTCGAGAATTGTATGGTTATGGCACAATGCCATCAAATATGTGCACAATGGTGATAAAGTAAATTGACTTCAGTATCAGATAAAGCTGGTCGATAGATTTATCTCCCATCCGATGAGCTTATTCCGTCATGCATCGTCTTTTCGACAAGCCGAAACCGGAATTTCCTAACTTCTAGGCTCTAATGGCTCAACTAGCAATGACGGTGACGCCATCGACCTAACAGAACAGTGCTACAAGAAATTTCAACTGACCCACGCTAACTACGTTGATGAAAGATGCATTTGGAAATCCACAGGAGTTTCAGAAGTGAACCTGAGGGCTGTCTAGGCGTATCATGATCTACAGCACTTAAACAAGGGCATTCCTCCTGGCCCGGATATGGTCAGTCCTACTATACTGAGGTAGGTGGCTTCAATCTTGACGACACAGCTCAGCCTGATGTTCTCACACTCGCTAAGCTTAGGCACGTTACCAGAAAATCAGAAGCTGGCTCACATCAAACTAATTTTCACAGAAGGTCGACTCAGAGAAACTTCAAGCTACTGACCAGTGGCTCTTCATTCTATCACGCAACATTTATGGATCCCTGATATGCGACGGTATATACGACTATTTATTATGCTTAACCTTCTTTTCACCCCAACACCATGGTTTCAGGAAGGGGCATTCTTGTATAACCAACCTGCTGACTGCGGTGGACAGATGGACAAGCATCCATGATCGCAAGGGGAAGACTGAATTCACTTACCTGGACTTCTTAAAAACATTTGATAGGGTCGAACATAAATGTCTTATCAATAAGCTCAAATGATTAGGTATCAAATGAACCTTAATTGATTGGTTCATTTCATACCCAAAAAGTCGACAGTTTATGGTCAGGATTTACTTCACCTTCCAAAGGGGTCCCCCAACGTTCAGTACTAGGGCCTCTTTTTTTAGATTTATATAAACGATCTTCCACGACAGGTATCCTCAGATTTATTACTTTTTGCTGATGGCGTAAAACTCTGGAGCGAAGTGTTCAACCAAGAGGATAAACCTGCACTTCAGGATGATTTGACTCGACTTCAAATTTGGGCAGATAACAACGGACTTACCTCTAGCAATTCAGAGTCTCACATTAGATTGCTATGATGATCAGGTTATCACGTTTCGATCAGCATGGGAATTTAAGTTGTTTAAAATTATTTCTTCCTGGATTAAGTTGTTGTTGAAGTAGCTTTTGATCTGAGTCCATCTGCGATATGTCGCAGACTACAGTTACAACTTGAGAAAGTCTTCTCTATTAGTATTCCGAGTTGAAAAAGATTTAGGAGTCCTGGAGCCCTACGATTTGAAGTCTTACGCTAACTGTGACAAAAATGCCTTTCGAGCAAACCTTGCTCTGGTAACTTCGGAGAGCATTTTTGGCCAGTTTGACGGAAGAACTGTAGAGATAGGCCTGACAAGCTTATTTTGTAAATAGTTTTCAATGTTATTTGTATTTATTTTGTCAACCTTCTCCACAGAACTTTCCACATAGACTTCAACAGTTTTATTCGCCCCCATTTAGAGCACGGAAACACAATATTTCTCTCCCCACTTCAAAGGATAAGGACACTCTGGTGCGTATCCAACGGCGAATCGCCAAATCAGTTAGGGGACTCAAACCTTATGAGGAGCGCCTACAATTACTTAACCTTCACCCATTAGAGTGTAGGCGTCTTAGAGGTGACTTTGTGATGGCCTACAGTATCCTTAACACTTCTGGAGATCCCCTTAATCACCTACCTAAGCTTAGTCCCAATACAAACCTCAGAGGTAACACCCAGAAACTGAAGACACAACATAGCGGAACGTACTGTAGACACAACTTCTACTCCTTCGGAGTTGCCAAATGCTAACACTCGCCGCCCACTGAACTAGTCCAGGCGACTTCCCAGGAGTCCTTTATGGGGAAACTTGACCTATTAATAATGACTCAGGATAACATCTTATTATGAGTTGTCAATTTTTTTCTAATCTATTATAACTAGAATACCTAGGTTCCTGCCTGGATGTATTGGTGATCTTTGCTAATAGACAGGGAAGCCTGTTGGGAGATAGCTTCTTCTATTCCGTCCTTAACCATTTGAACCATTTGAAACAATTTGATTGGCGGATTATACACACAGTGCGTTACAGTAGCCAGCACTTCAAGGTAATTGTGAGGATCCCTAGTGTTAACCCCGTATTATTTCAGGAATTAGTATGTTACAAAAGATAAATCGTAGATACGTAGCATAAACATCGGTTGTTTATGAAGTCTGATTATAGAAAAACGTTTTAGTTTATTAATCTTATAACTCAATAAGGTACCTTATTGAGCTACCAAAAACAACCAATAAAGTAGGAATAAAGGCGAACAAAGGGGAAGTATACGGGAAATGATAGTGAAGCGCGCACAAATGTCTGCTTTTTCGCCTCTACGGAGGGATTTAATGCGGATTTCGCCCTTTGTATCGCTCTGTGTTTCAAATATCACCGAATTGTCTACTCTTTGCATATTTACACGTCGATTTGTCTGATTTTTCTTCCACTTTTAGCACTTTGGTATAACCCAAGACGTCTCATGTGTTCGCCTCTATTCCCAGATCACACTAGACGAGAACTGCATTCCCTGCAAAAAATGGTACATGTTTAGAGAAAGTTATTAGAAAGAAAAAGTGTAACATTGTATAACATTATGAGTAGCTGATAGATGCTAGATCATCAATTGTTATGTGTTTTAATTGTGATTACCTAGGCTTATTGAAGTTTGGAAAAATCTGTAAAAAAAGAGATGGTAATTATTAGTAAGACACATGCACTTAATTGCAAATGCCTTTTAAACCAAACAGGCTTTCTCAACACTTATTCAAAAAGTTTCCCATGCACTTAGGAAATTAAGCCCATGTTTAAAAATGTTTATTGTAAACGTAGTTGAACATGTTAAATATTCCACTGATAATTTCTTTTCGTAACAGTCAGTCAGTCAGTCAGCTACAACGTAGGACCAGGCACATATGTGCATCGGTCCAGGTTGCCATACCGCATCAGCACAACGAGATGAACACCGGATTCATAGGAGTGGTTAGGTCAAAGGTGGTAGTAAATAGGAAAAAGATTGCATATAATGATATAGTACAGGAAGAAAGAATCAGTTCATAGAAAGAAAGATATAATGCAATTTTAATCTCTTAGTTTAAGGGAAGGCAGGGAGTGTATACACCGACGCCATTGTGATCGATTCTGAGCCATGTCACCAAGAGTCTCCAACCATTGGTTACCATAGTCACGCGGACCCCAACCAAGTAGTCTGCATCTACCAATATGGCTCAGACTACAAGTTAGTGACTTCAGGCACTGATGCCACGTTTTGGTTTGGCCGCCCCTAACTTTCTTCCAACCATCCCCTACACCGGTTAGCATTGCACGTCGTGGTAATCGGTGTTCAGGCATACGTAATACGTGGCCCAACCATCTCAGTCGATGAAGATTCATAACCTCATCAACTGATTTACCATCATCCCCTAATACCCTGCGTCTAACCTCACTGTTACTTACCCGGTGATCCCAGAAGATGCGAGCAATATTTCTAAGGCATCTGTGGTCAAATACTAATAGCTTACGGGTGTCTTCTACTCTTAATGGCCATGTTTCGCTGCCGTAAAGTAAAACAGAACGGACTGCCGCGCAGTATACCGTCCTTTTATTGATGGACGGATATCTCGCCTCCGCCAAAGGTGACGTAAGTTGACAAAAGCCAAGCGAGCTTTCCGAATCCGTGCTGAAATTTCGTCAGACACCAACCCATTAGGGCTGATCAGACTTCCAAGATATGTGAAGTTGTCAACGCGTTCGACTACTTCACTCCCTATCCTTAGTTCAGGTGTTGACGCAGACCAGTCCTGAAGCAACAACTTGCATTTAGAGGTGGAGAAACGCATTCCAAACATTCTGACATTGTTGCTTAGTGCTACCAGAAGACTCTGCATTTTGTCAGCGTCTTCACCAAACAGGACTATATCATCTGCGTATTCTAAGTCGATAAGTGGACCTCCTGGATGGAGATCAATACCCGAGAACTCAGTCGACGAGAAAGTTTTTTCGTAACGCCTGTTTGAGTATTGAGAGTCAAAAAAATCTTGTGAATTCTGAAATGTAAAGACCGAAAAAAGTTACAACGATATCTAGATGACATGATTTTACACAACTAGCTACTTGACGCCTCATTTACGGTTATGTTCGTTAACTCTGAAGACTGTACATATAGAGCAGTATAGACTAATTATCACTTTAAATTAGTACATACATGTTCTTGTCTTCTTTGATTACGCTTTTGTAATTTGCCTCTCATATCGTGAAAACCATATGGCGTCCCAATGTCGTACAGCTTCTCAAGGTCTTTTTCGTTGACAGATGACAGGGACCGATTAGTTGAAGCACCTGAAGTTTAATATATATATATTCTTCGTATGCAGCCGTAAAACTCGCACTTCTAAAGTGCTCGTTTTGATAAAGTGACAAGTAGCGTAAAATGACTTGCACTTTAGGTCACCAAAATCTATTATTTGCGGATAACATCATGGTCTGGAGGAAGACAAGACCTCATCAGGATGTGCATAGGGTATGCAACTGGATCACCAGAAGCTTGTTCCCTCCTACCACCAGTAGGCGCGGAATGAAGCCTGCGGACTGTAGTAGTACGTCAGCCTCATACCTTCCTAGGAATGTTAACACCACACTTTCCACTGAAGAACAGCACCTCGGCATCATCGTATGTGATGTTCTAGGTCTTTCCTTAGTCGTATTTCACAGCCTACGGGACATACTCTGTCTTGGGATCTGTTTCCACAATCTCATGTTGCCTAACTTCTGGACTATTCAAAACGTTCTTCAGTGTTTACTTAACAACTCGTCTGAAAAAATATCAAGTTATGTGTCCCATCTCTAAAAGTATAAAACTTTCTTAGAACAAGTTTAGCAAAAGGTAACTGTTATATCGTTTGCAATGGCGCAGGTGCATCCACTCTCTATGTTCTCTTAAATTCTAATCTTCTGAATCCTTCATGTCCGTTTTTTCCTCTTTCCAAATTTATTTCACTGGATTATACTCTTTAAATAACATCTCCAAACCCTAATCTTCCCGATTACTGCTTATACTCTTATTACCTCTACCACTACGGGATTTGAATCGACAACTGTATCTCTGTGCTAATGTGGTGTGGCAACTCGAACTGATGTACGTACGTACTTACGAAGTTCTGCGTTGTTACTGACTGACTGACTGAACTGTTATATCATAGTGAGGATTACATTACGAGTAACGTCCGAGACTTATTAATGAAGTATTCTTATTTATATATTCTCATGGAATAAATATTCGGTAACTAGATTATGTATATCTATGTTTCCCTTATTATAAGCTTCATTTTGACCTATAATTTATTATTATACGATTTGCTGTTCCTAAATTATGCTCAGTTTATTAACTACTGCCTCCCACATTCACAGCCACTTTTTGGCTTCATTGTGTACAAATGTTATTTCCTATTTCATGGTGCGTTGCGGTCTGTTTGGTTGATACATAAACCCAGTATGTCTGAAATAAATGACTCGATTCGATTCGCATAGTGGGAGCTGGTATTTGGTGTTCTGGACTCAAGTAGACGAGCTAGGCGGACATAGGACCAATAAGGACGCTAGGCTGCTCATACCGATCGGACGTCATTGGTTTGGCACAGTGCTAATATTGTATAAGTTGTATTCTGATTGGTGGATAAATCATGTGGTAAAAAACCGGATATAGAGTCACAACAGTGACCAATCAGATGCTTGTACTAAAAAATTAACAGTGATGACACCTTTTTCTGAGTCCTTCAAAATGAGCTTCAACTTCATTTTAGCTTTGTGCATACTGTAATAGATCACTCATCGTTGCTTCTCACCCACTCGTGTTATTCATAACCAATGTCTTCACCTCTCAGATTGAAAACGACCATAACGATAAAACCTCTCCGTAACCAAGAACACTTACTTAAACGTATATCCAAAGGAACAAATAATTCACTATTTCTCTCCAAAGTTTGAAGTTTTGGTTGGATGATTGCTTTAGCACCCGTTCGAAATACTCCGATGTTTACACTGCACATTTGAACAAATTTATGTCAGACTTTGAACTTGAACTAACTGTTGTTTAGGCTTGTAAAGTTAGTTATCGTGATTAAGTAAAAGTCAATGTTTTCCAGGCCAATTATTTAGAGCTATAGGTGGACACGTCAGAGAACAGTCATTCCCATTTCTAAGATAAGTTAGAAATCCTTTTATTTTAGTCATATAAGATGAGTAACATGAATTTTGTAATCAAGCGAATAGGCAGTCTATGATAAATGTTCGTTAAGTAAGGCGGTCATTTATTTATTTATTTGAACACGTAAACATTGGTACAAGGGGGCACCTAACATATATTCGCTACACAATAACAATCAGGCCAGTAGTAGTTATTATTAATTTTTATGGTTGAAATAATTAGTAAAATTACCAATCGAACAATATTAAATTAGGGTCCTAATGCCTATGCAATAACGGTAAGTTATCCAACGAAGTAGTGGATCTGCATTAAGTAGCTGGGATAAAACACATTGCTAATATCGCTCACCCATTTTTATAACTCTATCTAGCACCATATTGAAGAATGACTATAAAATCACTAACATTGAGTTAAAGATTTGTAAACAGATGTAAACTTCACTGTTGATGTCCTCACTATAATTGTAACCTGTGATAAAAGGTTGTGGTAAAACCAATAATAACCAATTACAAGTCCATTGAACCCTACCCTTTATGTCCTAAAAACCATAGTATTCTTTCTTTGTTTCGTCTTTTTGACTCATGTTCAGTTTGCTTGTTGCATAACATATCAATTTTCTTGATCTACTAACTGCACGATGTCAAGAGGTGAAAATTTGAGCCGATAGCTTTTGTGGTAATTTACGTGTTAATCTATTTGTTTTTATTGCTCAGTATACATTTCCACTTAGTTTCAACTTAATTTTTTCTGTTTCGTTTACTTAGAGGCAATGATGGATATATTTATGTGATTGAGTATTGGTGGTCTCTGTTATCTAAATTTTGATTAATTTTTCCTTCAGTCGGGTTCCAAATTCATTCTCATTAGTGAGGAATATGTTGGTTTGTTTTTATGAACTTAATTTAATCTCTGAAAACCTGTCAATAACTAGGATCCAAATGAAGATACTGAATGGAACGATATTTTACGTCAGAAAGGGATTTTACCACCGAAAAAGATTGAACCTGAAGAAGAACTTCCTCTACCTCCAGATCCAAGTAAATACTATTGGCTTTTTAAACACATTTTTATCTTCATTTCAAAGAGAGAATTAATGAACATTCATATTTTTAGAATCTATTTTAGATAAATTGACATCGGATGAGTTAGATGAGAAACTTGATTTATTGGAAGATGGAGAGATTGATGGTGAAGAGGCTCGTTTTCTTGAAGAATATCGACGTAAACGCATTGCGATGATGCAGGAGGTGGCATCAAAATCTCGTTTTGGTAATGTACGGGAAGTCACCAAAGCTGATTGGACAACCGAAGTGACAAATGCTGGTGATACATTTGTTGTAATCCATGTTGGGGAAAAAGGGTGAGCACTTAGTAAATAAAAATTCTGGTGTACTATCTGTAATCAGTGGAATAAAGTGATTGTCGAAAATTTATTAGATTCGGATGTTGTATTTATTCTGACTGGCTATATGATGTTTTAAACACGGTTTATCGTTCATAATCATGTCATAACATGCAAATAATTTTGGGATATGTTAAGTTTCAATATTGTGATAGACCTTATTCAACCACCTGGGGCTATAAATTTGCTTCAAAATTGTTGCATAGTATATTAACATAACTTTTTTCTAATTTGTCTTCTAGTTTACGTGCATGATCTCTTGCTTTCCTCGATATTTAAAATACTATCATTATGTCAGTCTTGCTATGAGCGTTATTTAAAATTTATGATGTACCATCCATATATGAGGAATTCATAGGAGTTTTGAAGTACATTCTATCTATTTCTAATTGGTTATTTATGTTACTACCGGTTTCGAATCCGTTTTGATGGGTAGGTATTTATGATTCAACGCTACATATTATGACGGAGATTAGTTACATTCTTGTCTTCACTATGAAGTAGGAAGAATTATAAAAATCACCAATGAAGTACAAATAGATGTTTTCTTCCAGCCTAGTTAGCTATTAAGTCACTTGACTTATACAACTGAGTAATCAAATAAAATCGTTTCTGAGTTACATTGCTGACATAAGAACTGATACTGCGCTAATTTTGGAATCAGGGTAAATGGAAGGAGGTCTTTTGAGACACTCAGCTATTTGTTGAAAGTTGACTTATCCAACAACGTAATCACCTGCCAACAAGTGAATAAAATTAGTAACTTCACATTAGATTATCTCCTCCAACCAATCACAACCCGGAACTTATTTGTATATATCCTTGGCTAGTGTTTAAATTTCCTTTCTATAAAATATGTTATAGTTTGTCAAAAATACTTTAATTTTATACCACAGGCATGGATTATGCAGTTTAATTGACCAACATTTTCGTAAATTAGCACAAAAATTTCCCACAGTGAAATTTCTTCGTGGTGAAGCTAGCTTATGTATTCCAAATTACCCAACAAGCAACTTACCATCAATTCTTATCTATAAATCCGGTGATTTAAAAGAACAATTAATTGGTCCTAAAGCTGTTGGTGGAAATACTGTCACTTTGAAAGGTAATTGTTTATGGGTCCATTTGTTCATATACTTTCTTTGGTTACTAGTTACTTTTGTCTCAGTGGTTCTGAGTCTTATAAGCTATCAGATCATCAAAACGTTTCAGTCTATACAACTTAACTCATTGACTTTTTATAGCTTCATACACTGCAGCACAAACGACATAAAGACAATCCACTATAAAGTAGTGTAGGTTTGAATTTTACCATTAGTCAATTTACGGCTTAATTTCATAACTCGACTGGGAGCGTGTTGTATCCTAGTGAAGATTAAATTACAGGTAACTTCCGAGGACTATTTCCTATGACTTTATGTCCGCCTTCTTACCACATGATTTATCCACCAATCAGAATACAACTTATACAATATTAGCACTGTGCCAAACCAATGACGTCCGATCGGTATGAGCAGCCTAGCGTCCTTATTGGTCCTATGTCCGCCTAGCTCGTCTACTTGAGTCCAGAACACCAAATACCAGCTCCCACTATGCGAATCGAATCGAATCATTTATTTCAGACATACTGGGTTTATGTATCAACCAAACAGACCGCAACGCACCATGAAATAGGAAATAACATTTGTACACAATGAAGCCAAAAAGTGGCTGTGAATGTGGGAGGCAGTAGTTAATAAACTGAGCATAATTTAGGAACAGTAAATCGTATAATAATAAATTATAGGTCAAAATGAAGCTTATAATAAGGGAAACATAGATATACATAATCTAGTTACCGAATATTTATGCCATGAGAATATATAAATAAGAATACTTCATTAATAAGTCTCGGACGTTACTCGTAATGTAATCCTCACTAGGATATAACACCTCCCTTTTTTGAAGCATTAGAGATAATAATGATTTTTAGGATTTATTTTTATTCAATTAGGTTTCGGCCTGATGCGCTGTGACCTCCTTGGGAGTGTTGTATACGTCTTATTATTATTCGGGTCATTTTTAATTTCATTATCCGACTCAGTTAATATATTTAATGGTATATTCGACGTTATAGCATCTCCTGTCTCCCGCTCTTGTCTGGTTGGTTGTATCTGGTTTGCATGTCGCACCCATATCTTTTGTCCAACTTTTACTTCATGGATAACCTTCCCTTTTTTCGTATTATGATGCCAAACTTCCACGTTTACTTTATTCTTATGAAATTTCTTGCTATTGCCGCTTGTTGAATCGCTGTTCCATTCATCTGTTCTTGCGGAGGTTGACTCTAGGTTTTGGTTTCATTTGCTCTATAGGTATTCTAATCTTTCTGCCAAAAATTGCTTCTGCTGGACTTTCTTGATTATTTGTTGCTGGGTTGGGTGTTGTTCGGTAGGTTTTTAAAAATATTTTAATCATCTCTTCTATTTCCCCTTCTCCCTCGGCTTTAAGCAGTGCTCTTTTAAACGTATCCACGAACCTCTCGACTAGACCGTTAGACTGCGGATGGTATGAGGGTGTCCTCATATGCCTAATGGCGTTGGCGACGCAGAACTTCGAAAATTCAGCGGAGGTAAACTGTGGTCCATTATCAGACACCAATACATCTGGACACCCAAAGCAGCTGAATACTTGTCTCAGTTTTTCGATAGTAGCTTTTGTCGAAAGAGACTTCATGTAGTGGATCTCTGGCCATTTTGAGAAGGCATCAACAATCAACAAGTACTGTTTCCCGTTTATGGGACCGGCGAAATCCACATGCACTCTTGACCATGAATTTGTCGGTGTCCCCCGACTCTGCATTTCTGTCTTGAGAGGGTCTTCGATAGCTTTTGCACACGCGAAACATCTCTCAACATATTCTTTGATCTGAGCATCAATATTCGGCCAATATACATAGCCACGTGCATGTGCCTTCATCCGTTCTACCCCTGGGTGTGCAGCATGCAGTTCTGACATCACCTTACGGCGTAAGTTTGTGGGTACAATTACTCGATTTCCAAACATCAAGCACCCGTTCACGAGTGATAGAGAATTTCGACGGTGAGAATACTGTTCAATGTTTTTGTTGTCTATATGAGCGGGACAACCATGTTCGAGGTATCTAATAATCTGCTTCAGCTCGTCGTCTTCTTGAGTATAGGGTTTAGTGTCTTCAGAGGATAACGGTGTTGCTTTTATGGCAACTTGTAGTATTTGGTGAATACCATTTTCCAACGATATCGTTGCGATAATAGAATCTTCGCTTTCCTGCTTCTGATTCGCAATTAATCGGGATAAAGTATCAGCTTGTTCAAACTTTCAGTTGATTTATATAGAATTTTGAAATCATAAGCAAGCAATGTAATAGCCCAGGGTTGTAATCGATTCGCTGTATATGCAGGAATACCTGACTTCGATCCAAATATAAATAGAAGCGGCTTATGGTCCGTTAAAAGGGTAAATCGACGACCATAAATCATTTTATGAAATTTTTTACTGCAAAATCTAAAGCTAGTCCTTCCTTCTCAATCTGACTATATTTTCGCTCAGCTGAGTTAAGAGTTCGGGATACATGAGCAACTGGCTTTTCTTTACCATCGGGAAAACAATGGCTGATAACAGCTCCAATTCCATAGTTGGAAGCATCGGCGGCTACAATTATTTCAAGCTTAGGATTGTAATGAGTCAGCAACAGTTTAGAAAATAAAATCCTTTTTATTTCATCGAAAGAATCTTGACATTCCTCTGTCCAGTGCCATGCTGTATTAGCCGTCAAGAGTTGATTTAATGGGTGTCGCAATTTATACATATGGGGTACGAACATACTATAATAACCAATCATCCCCAAAAATGAACGAAGGGTCCTAACCTCAGTCGGTCTGGGCATATTTTTGATAGCATTTATATTGTCTGGATCTGGTCGACGACCATTTTTATCAAATATATATCCAAGGTATTTAACAGACTCGGGTAGAAATTCACACTTTCCTTTTTGTAACTGAAAACCAGCTTGTGATATTTTAGTGAGCACCACGTCTAACCGACCCATTGATTCCTGCGCAGAAGAGCTAACAGCTATAATATCATCCAAGCAAACTGCTACACCTTCGACGTTAGACATCATAGTATCCATTATCTGCTGGAAAATTGCTGGAGCTGGCTTAACACCAAACAGTAATCGGTTAAATCGATAGAGTCCACGGTGGGTATTAAGGGTTAGTAACTCCTTTGAATCTTCGTCAACTTCCACCTGTAAGTAAGCTTAAGATAAATCAGGTTTAGAAAAATAACGTCCATCGTTTAATTTAATAAATAAATCCTTTGGCAAAGGTAATGGGTATGAATGATTTTGTAAGGCGTCATTTAATCCTGTTGAAAAATTTACACAAAGGCGAATAGCTCCGTTCGCTTTCTGAACTAATACAATTGGTGATGCTTATGCCTTATAGTTATACGTTGTATAACACCGAGCTTCTTTAGTCGGTCTAATTCTTTGTCGACTTTGTCAATAGCCACATATGCAACTCGACGCATAAGCATCACCAATTGTATTAGTTCAGAAAGCGAACGGAGCTATTCGCCTTTGTGTAAATTTTTCAACAGGATTAAATGACGCCTTACAAAATCATTCATACCCATTACCTTTGCCAAAGGATTTATTTATTAAATTAAACGATGGACGTTATTTTTCTAAACCTGATTTATCTTAAGCTTACTTACAGGTGGAAGTTGACGAAGATTCAAAGGAGTTACTAACCCTTAATACCCACCGTGGACTCTATCGATTTAACCGATTACTGTTTGGTGTTAAGCCAGCTCCAGCAATTTTCCAGCAGATAATGGATACTATGATGTCTAACGTCGAAGGTGTAGCAGTTTGCTTGGATGATATTATAGCTGTTAGCTCTTCTGCGCAGGAATCAATGGGTCGGTTAGACGTGGTGCTCACTAAAATATCACAAGCTGGTTTTCAGTTACAAAAAGGAAAGTGTGAATTTCTACCCGAGTCTGTTAAATACCTTGGATATATATTTGATAAAAATGGTCGTCGACCAGATCCAGACAATATAAATGCTATCAAAAATATGCCCAGACCGACTGAGGTTAGGACCCTTCGTTCATTTTTGGGGATGATTGGTTATTATAGTATGTTCGTACCCCATATGTATAAATTGCGACACCCATTAAATCAACTCTTGACGGCTAATACAGCATGGCACTGGACAGAGGAATGTCAAGATTCTTTCGATGAAATAAAAAGGATTTTATTTTCTAAACTGTTGCTGACTCATTACAATCCTAAGCTTGAAATAATTGTAGCCGCCGATGCTTCCAACTATGGAATTGGAGCTGTTATCAGCCATTGTTTTCCCGATGGTAAAGAAAAGCCAGTTGCTCATGTATCCCGAACTCTTAACTCAGCTGAGCGAAAATATAGTCAGATTGAGAAGGAAGGACTAGCTTTAGATTTTGCAGTAAAAAATTTCATAAAATGATTTATGGTCGTCGATTTACCCTTTTAACGGACCATAAGCCGCTTCTATTTATATTTGGATCGAAGTCAGGTATTCCTGCATATACAGCGAATCGATTACAACCCTGGGCTATTACATTGCTTGCTTATGATTTCAAAATTCTATATAAATCAACTGAAAGTTTGAACAAGCTGATACTTTATCCCGATTAATTGCGAATCAGAAGCAGGAAAGCGAAGATTCTATTATCGCAACGATATCGTTGGAAAATGGTATTCACCAAATACTACAAGTTGCCATAAAAGCAACACCGTTATCCTCTGAAGACACTAAACCCTATACTCAAGAAGACGACGAGCTGAAGCAGATTATTAGATACCTCGAACATGGTTGTCCCGCTCATATAGACAACAAAAACATTGAACAGTATTCTCACCGTCGAAATTCTCTATCACTCGTGAACGGGTGCTTGATGTTTGGAAATCGAGTAATTGTACCCACAAACTTACGCCGTAAGGTGATGTCAGAACTGCATGCTGCACACCCAGGGGTAGAACGGATGAAGGCACATGCACGTGGCTATGTATATTGGCCGAATATTGATGCTCAG